GGGGGGTCTCTTCCAGGCTATCTTGGAGGGCCTGGGGGGGTTGGGGACGATGTTTTGGAGGGTTCTCCCACGGGGGGGGTCTGAAATGGCTTGTCTTGGAGGGTCCAGACCCCCCCCCCTTTTATTGCGAAATCTGGAGTATCGTTTATCCGATCCCCATCCCCAGCGGCGTGGCCTGGGCCCCACTGGCCGATTTACCCCCCTGGATGGGGATGGCAGCCATGTCTGAGATGTCTCCGTAGTATTGCCGGCTTCGTTCCCGGCGCGCTCGTCTTTTCCTTCGACGCCGGTGTTCTTGCGGATGTACGTTTCGAGCAATGAGGGTGTGAACAAGACGTGGGTTTGTTATGCGTTGGGTTCGGCAACGGATGTGCCATGCGCGTGAAATGGCAGTTGGAGACAAAGCCATGCTTTTATCAAGAAGGACTGGGGTCAATGCGCGGTGGAAGCTGGTAGAGGGAAGCCAAGCGGCATAAACGTGAGAACATCAGGCGGCGGGTATTCGAATTGCACGGATGTTGAACGATTTTTTAATTGGTCGCGCCCTTTGCAAGGCCCTCCCCGCGCGACTCATGGCACGTTGCGCCAAAGTCAAAAACATTACGTACCCGCAACGTCATTCACCTCGCACAGAAGCCTGAAGCGTTTCGCGGACTCGACGGGGCAAGAGTTTTCGTGTCGTCGTCCTACACGAGGCACTCCAGAAAAAGGGCCCCCCGCCTTAGAGGATCGAAGGCGTTGTTATCTTTTCCTCTGCGGAAGGCGGTGGGAGCTAAGCGAGGCCGCCCTCGCCGGCGGAAGCCGGCGGAAGGCCTGTGGAAGACGGCAATCACAAGTTGCGCCCCAAAGTCGGACAAACAAATGTCAAGCTTTTTTGGTTCAGGGTTTCTGGAACCGGCCACGCGGTAGGCCCTTCCGCCCTCCACCACAGCCCCGCCAGGACGGGGCGGGCAGTCATAACGCTCGAGCCCGCTACTTGTCTCCCCGCCCCGTGCAGGCAGCAGCCCGCCGGCCATGACGCTTGATGCTGCCGAGGCTGGCCACATAACTATCGATCGTCGAAGACCAGAAGACTGCTAGAGCGTTTTTGTTTCGGCGGTTTGCCCTGATGGGCTTGTTTTCCACCACCACTGCCATTACTGGAGAGGGGAAGGCGGTGGAGGATGAGGAAGAGGATGAGGATGATCCACGAATTCATGATGACCCACATGGACAATGACCCAGATTGACACCGACGTTTCCGCGTTAAGTCTCGGTCATGGTCATCGTGCGTGTTTCTCTCCACGTTGGCTGCAAAGGTGGGGGGCAGCGGTGATCGGCGGCTCTCAGAACCCAGGCGTCGACCGTCTTGAAAAATGCAAGGCGGAGATGTGTCGGCCTGTTCGCGGGGCCCTCTTCAGGCCCGAGGACCGCCCAAATGGGGCTCAGGACGGCCCTGGGATCAGGGTCAGGATTTCTGGGCCCTTGGGCAAGAGTCTAGATATTCGGACGTCTGGGTCTAGGTATTCGGATCCAATACCGGCAGCATTATTATTCTGACCTTGGGGGCTTTGTGGGAAAAAATCAAGTGATCGGTCGATCTTGGTTCTCTGCGATCTCAGCGCCCAGCTACATCGTCGTTCCCCGCAAGAACAGACCGTCTTGGGCCCTCGCATTTTCGGCTGCCCCCAGGCTGAGCACAACCCTGCAACAAACCGCAGCCTCTTAATCAGGATGTGTGTGAACTTGAAGCTCGCCGTCGGCAACGCGCACTTCGATGCCTCCGCAGATAGACAGATAATTTGCTACAGCGTGGGCTGTCAGCCGTCGGACCCTCCCGTGCCAGGCAATTTGGGCCAGATTGATTTTGTCTTAATGCCCGTCGTTTTGATACATCAGCTTCGCCATGTTCACAGTGACCGCTCGTGAGCTCTGGCTTCGCGCCATTTTCTTGTCGTGGCCGATCTGGACGCCATCGGCAATTTGACCTCAAAGGGCTGAGGGTGCCGACAGGCGACAGATTCGCACGGGCGTTCGACGCAGCGATGTTTTCTGAGTCTGCTGGGGCGACCTGGTAACCACGACCGACCTCGACGAGGCCATGTGATCTCCAGGCATACGCTGTCTCTGATCCAGCGAGTAAATGCATCGAGGCAGAGCGGGAGGGTCGAACAGGAGAGACGGCTGCAAGCAGAAGTGAAGCGCTCCGTCGGCAACGATAGGTCACCGTGGCTCGACGCTCTCTTTGCCGCCGGGCCGTGGTACCAGCTGAAGAACCTTCGGAACGGCTTTGCTCCGAAACAGGGGAGGCGGAGGGGAAGGGATGGAAAGCTCGTGGATTCCGACCGCCCTTCAGAGACAGTGGCCGAGTATTCGGACAAGGTGCAGTGGGGCACCCGCGCCACAACGCACATGTCCAGAGAGCCCCTTGGCGACGAGCTGAACGTTAGCGACGCCCCCATCAACAGCGAAGAAGTGGCAGCGGCCGCCAAGCGCACGCGCTTGGGCAAGGCTTGTGACGCTAACGGGGTGCCCGGCGATTTTTGGATACCTGCATGCAGGGCGGGCTCCGCGTCGCAGAGATGGGCGCTGGCATTTTGTGAGAGATGCTGGCCAGAGGGGTCGGTCCCCAAGGCGTGGCGCGATTCCTTGCGGCCATTTCCAAGAAGGGCGACGCTTCCACATGCAAAAAGGATCGTCCGACTTGTTTGATGCAGGCCGAGTGTAAACGCCTCGCCTACATTGTCCTCGAACGCTTGACGAAGGCCGGCGCCGACGAGCACATTCTGCGCACGCAGTTCGGGCTCAAGCCCAGGAGCGGCACAGCGGACACCATCTTCCTTGCGAGGCGGCGCCTGCAAGAAGTCTGGGCGATCAGAGATGGGCAGCTCGTGCTACTGGCGCTCGACTTGGCGAAAGCTTTCGGCAGCGTCATGCCCGACGCGATGATCGCAGGCCTGAAGCGCTTGGGGTTTCCAGGGAGGGTGCTGAACACCGCGAGCTCGATCTACAGTGGCAAAACGTTCGTTGTGAGAGACGATGTGGCAGACGTGTTTCAGGCAGGCGCAGGGCTCGGGCATCTACCGAGGCTGCCTGCTCTCACCGCTCCTCTTCGTGATGGTCATGACTGTCATCCTTTGCGACGCCCGGAGGAGCCTGGGACATGCTGGCGGGGATATCAGTGACCTCGTTTACGCTGACGACACGTCGATTGCCTGGGCATCTGCGCCTCAGGCGGAATCCTACATGAAAACTATAAAGACCGCTGGGTCCAACTACGACCTCGTGTACAACTGGGGCAAAATGGAGATGCTGACCGCGAGGTGCGAAGCAGGCGCCGCTAAGCCAGACGGCGGTGTCATCCCCCGAAAGGGGCATCTCGTTTACCTGGACAGCGTGCTTCCGGCAGACGGTTCAGCCGGGCCAGAGATCAACCGACGGCTGGGCCAGGCGAAGGCAGAGTTCGAAGCATTGTCGCGGGTATGGTCCCGTTCCACGTCCACGGTGTCGAACAAGGGGAGTCCGATGATTTTCGAAGCGTGCGCGCAGACGAAGCTGCTGCACAGCCTCCACACCGGCTGGTGGAAGACGCAGGAGCTGGCCAAGCTGGGCGCGTTCCACGCAAGGTGCCTCCGCCGCATCCTTGGCATTCGCCTCTCGTATTGGATCAGGGTCACCAGCGCTGGCGTTCTGCAGCTGGCGGGGCGGATGAAACTGAGCAGCGTTTCGCTGCAGAGACAGTGTGTTTATTCGGACAGATAGCTAGATGTGCGGTAGGGCACCCTCTCCGAGACGTTGCTTTTGACTCTCCGCCCTTCTCTTCCCCTTCCTCCCCTTGCCCCCCGTGCGTTCTCAAGAGAATGGCTGTCCCGGGCAGACGTGGGCCGGAGAATGCGGCAGGCACGCCGCTGTTGTCTGCGACGTTTGCGGTTTTCCCAGAGAGAATAGAGATGCCATCCCAGTAAACAGCTAGAGGACAGCTTTGCGGAGGTATTGCGCGCTGCGCTAGCTTGTCTTAACTGCTCATGTGCCGGCCACGAGACTTCGCAACGTTTGGGTCCTTGGGTGGAAGCCCCAGAGGCCAAAATAGAGGCGACCGACGCTTTCCAAATGCCCCCTTGTCCACGGCTGCGTCAGTCGGCGTCGACGTGGTGGCGGGCACGTGTGTTCGGCCAGCGTCGGTGTCGACGCAGACGTCGACGGTGTTGTGCTATCAATTGCGCCTGGCGCTGTCGTGCCGATGCGTCGTCGCCAACGCCGCCAGCGTCGTCGGTGTGTGTGTGTGTGTGCGTGTTGCCTCGTTTTTCATGCTGCGTTATTCTTCCATTGCGCTAGTAATCCAGACCTCCCAAATAGGGTTCGAGTAGAAGTGGTCGGATGATCGCGTGGCATCGCCGATGCATCAGCGAGGTGGGTCGATGCTGGGCCTGATGTTCTCGACGCCGACGGCGCCGATGCATCGCCGACGTCGCAGGTGCATCGCCACTGCATCGGTGATGCGTCCCAACGCGGCGCGGTCTTCCGACCTACTGCACTCGGGCCCCATGCGGGAGGCATCTAGTTGAGCGCCGTCGTCGTGCTGTCCCTGCGTCGTCATTGCGTGACGTCGCGCCGGCGACGACGACGACGTCGGCGTCCACCTTCGTCGTTCGTTGGCGCGCCTGGGGGGGATGTGAGGGCGCAGGCCCTGTAAGAAGGCTAGCGGGACGTTTCCGAGGCCCGACGACCTTCGACAGGCCGACTGGGTCTCGTATAAATTTAGACATGCCCGTCCCCTTTGCAGTCCCTTTCGTGTGGAAGCCCATGCAAAAACAACAAAAAAAACTGTTTGCCGCCAGGGTGTCCTGGGTTTCTTGGGCTTCGACGGCGTCGCGATGCAGAGTGCAATCTTCCCACACCACACATCAATGGACGTCCCTGGGTCTCAGGGTTGGGCTTATTTTGGAAGGTTTCTTGTGGTCGAGCTCCTGCTGCAGGGCCCGCCGCCACTCCGTCGCCATCAGTCTGCACCGCGCCGCCAGGCCGCGGCGCCCGGCGTGCTGGCGGCGGCGCTGCGGGGACACGCGGCCTCGCAGCCGCTGGGCAGCGCGGGGGCCTGGGGGGGGATCGGGTCGGACGAGGGGGGAGGAGAGGGAGGAGGAGGAGGAAGAGGAGGAAGAGGAGGAGGAGGAGGAGGAGGAGGAGGGAGGAGGAGGAGGAGGAGGAGGAGGAGCGGAGGAGGAGGAGGAGGAGGAGGAGGAGGAGGAGGAGGAGGAGGAGGAGGAGGAGGAGGAGGAGGAGGGGAGGAGGAGGAGGAGGAGGAGGAGGAGGAGGAGAGGAGGAGCGGGAGGAGGAGGAGGAGGAGGAGAACGAGGAGGACGAGGAGGACGAGGAGGAGGAGGGGGAGGAGGGGGAGGAGGAGGAGGGGGAGGCCAGAGGGGGAGCAGGAAGAGGGGCAGGAGGGCAGAGGAAGTGTCAGGAGGGGGAGCAGGACGAGGATCGTCCGTGCCTTCGCCCGGAGGCGCAGCAGCGTCACGCCCCTCGTGCAGCCTCGCCTCGCATGCCCTCGTGTGCAGCCGTTGCCGCACGCGTGGGGGGTGGGGGAAGGCGGGGGTACGACATATGCCGCATGCGGCTGATTTCGGCCCCGCCGGCGGGCGCCTCCCTCGATGTGCAAGTCCAGGGAAGCGACATTCAGAGTCGGCGCCGGTATGCCTGCGGTCGGAGCCGGCCAAACCGGGCACATTCTTGGTGAATATGTCTTCATCCTGACTCCAGTTGAGTCCTGGGCCGAGGCCAGCCCAATCGCTCTACATGGCCTCCTCGTCGGGCTTCGCCGCTCCTGCGAAGACCTCCCAGGAACTGCGACCTCACACTGGCGCCGCCGCGCCAGGAGGCGCCAGGAGAATCAGCTATACGTGAGCTGATTCGCTGACTTACCCTTTTGCTGCCGCCCCCTTTCAGGAGGGAAGAAAACACACAGACACAATTAAGCGTCGATTCCCAAGAAAATATAGGAAAATATGGGAAATGGAGGGGATGACCAAATCCCAGAAAAGATAGGAAAATATGGGGAATGCTGTTATTTGTGTGTATAGACTTATGTGTCCCAGGGACCCTTCACCCTTGCGTTCGACCCGATCCTGGAGGAGAGAGGGGGGGGTGTCCCAGGGGCGCCGACGGGTTGCGAGGCCTCTCCCCGAGGGACGCCCGGATATACACCAAGGTGCGCGGGCCTGCGCTCGAAGCATAGTTGTAAGTCGGGCCTGTCCCTCTACTGGGGGAATATTCAAAAATGGTCATAAAATAGTCAGGGGACGATGTTTTGATATTTGTTGGCTATGTGGGGGTACTTTTGGATTTGTTTTAACAATTGTTCGTCCAAAATCCTCATGTAGGGGGAAATGCCCGACCTAAGCATAGTTCGGCGGTGAGCACACACACAGAGCCGCGCCTGAACGGCGCATCGGCAGGAAAATTGGCTACGTGAAACAAATGTGCATTATAACGGGGTTCGCGCAGACGCTCCCCTGCAGTGCCTCGGAAGCGTACGCTGGAATTATTTGCCCCAGCGAAGCGCGAAGGTATGCTACAGTTCGCCGGAGGAGGAGGAGGAGGAGGAGGAGGAGGAGGAGGAGGAGGAGGAGGAGGAGGAGGAGGAGGAGGGGGGGCTGAGTGATTTAAGCATGCACCAGATTCGTATAATCTGGGCCCCGGATTCGTATCACTATGAAAAGCAGTAGTCTACAACAGTTGCGTTCCATTGCCCCGGCGCTCCACGCAGTAGAGCTTGCAATCTGTCGGGGTCGTTTCTTGCCACAGCCAGGGCTTGAGCGTGCATGTAAGCGTTCCACTGTAAACGAGGGCGCCCTCTGGGGCGCGGCGTGCCCCAGTCCCTGGGCAGAATACGGTGGTCTTGTCCAGCTTGAAACACCATTGCTCTGGGCAGGCTGCCGGGCGGTCCCCTTGCCAGCTTACCATAAAAGTTCAATTGGCGCTGTAATAAACAAACTGATAACGGGAATGCTTCCGCTGCCGCCCGCACATCAGCGTTGCTGACGCGAGACAGGAAAGCTGGCGCTATTTTGAAAACCTTTCGCCAGCATTTTGCTTGGAAGCTGTCAAGGCGATCCCGGTCCGCCTTCAGCAGCATGCAATATTCTAGCCCATTTAACAAGTTAGTATACACGCAAGCTTGCAGCACCCGCAATTTGCGCCGTGGTCTCATATTCGCATGGCTCCACACTGCGCATAGTTTGTGGAATGCTCCGCTCGCTTCCCCCAGGCGCCGTGTGAGCTCAGTTCCAGCTCTCCCATCTGCACTTAATAATCCGCCCAGGTAAACTGCATGTTTTTCGCATTTGATTGCCTCGCCGTTTGGCCCAAGCACAGTGTCGTTGGATCGTACTCTCAGTAAAATTGTTTTCCCGGCATTCAGATCAAGACCAAACGTTTTGCCAATTTGCGCAATTGTCGTGAAATGTTTCTGGAGGGCGGGTTGGTCTTCAGCCACGAGCATCGTGCCGTCGGCGTACAAGACGTCGTTTGTGATGATGTACGGCTTGCCTGTGAAGTTGTCGCAGTCGGTTGCCCGTTTGTCGCCCACGGCCTCCAGGAGCACGGACATAACAATAATGAAAAGGTATGGAGACAACGGGCATCCCTGTGCGATTCCAGCTTCTTGAACTCGTTGTGAAGATACAAGAGTGCCCTCTTTGACAACGAACCGCCGCACCCTGTAGATCGCCGCAATCATGTCGAGCATCGCCGAAGGCACGCCGAAGTGTCGGAGTGCGAACAATAGGCCGTCTGTCTTGATACGGTCGAAGGCTTTACTCCAACCCAACAGTAAAATAAGCAGCTTCCCATATTTATCGTCAAGAGCAGCATCCACCATTCTGCGTGCCAAAAACAATGCTTCACTAGTTCCTCTGCCTTGTCTGAAACCGTACTGGGTTTCCCGTAACTTTTCTTCTGCTCCGCCCTCCTCGAAAGGATGCAAAAAAATGTTTGCGAGGATCGTGTAGCCGACTGCTAATAATGATATGGGTCTGTAGTTGCCCGGCTGCGACGTGTCCCCCTTCTTGAAGATAGATACCACCGACGCTTGCCGCCACTGCGCTGGAATATCTTTGTTTTGCCAGCATGCGTCGCAGAGGTCCCGTAGAATTTCCAAGGCATCGTTGTTCGACCATAGTGCGTGCCAAAGGTCGGTTGGAACGTCGTCGCTGCCTGCCGCCTGTTGTGGCCGAAGATGTTTCACAGCTCGTCGCACTTCTTCTAACGCAATACTTCCAGCTTCCATTTGCAAGCAACCACTGTTGGCAACCATATCTGCTAAATTCAGCCCAACATGACACACACATGCCATTGTACTTGTTCGAGGTACTCCGCCATCGTTGCCGGCCTTTGTTCAGCATCCACAATATTGCCACTCAAGTCGCGGAGTCTTCCAGTCGTCGCGGCTCGTCTTTTCCGGAGATCGCATTGCTCCCCACCCATCTTTGTCAATTGCCTCATCTAGCCACTGTCGTCTGTCGGCGCGAGCAGACACCTGGATCTGTTTGTTCAGTATTTTGACCTCGTTCATACTTGCTCCACTGTTCCTGGTAATATTCCGTTGATCTATGAGGTGCAACGTTCTCGAGGAAATCCATGGCCGCCGTGGCGTAGCATCGCACGGAGGGATTGCAGCAGCAGCGGATTCAAGCATGCACTATGCCACTGCCGACGCTTTCGCATCAAGATCTCTATGTTCAGGTTGTTGCCTCCATTTTTCCACGAAGCCCTCTGCGTACTTGCAAGGGGTGCTGACATTGAGGAGTTCTGCCATGTTTAATCGAGGTGGGCGTTGGTGATGGTCTGCTTTTGGTATGCTGATGTCCAAATCCACGATTCAGACGAAATGATGGGACTGCAATGCTCTCCAACGGTCGCTCCAAACATTCACAACAGAAGAAAAAAACAATTTTGTGCAACGATAACGTGGTCTAGCTGCTCAAAACGTCCCGGCTGGATGTCGCTGGCGGGGTGCACCCCGAGATCGTAATAGGTGATTTTAGCCTCAGCTCCCGTGTTGAAGGACGTATTCGCGACGCAACCCTCCATGCCAGGGCAAAGTTCCAGCAATAACTCTCTATTAGATATTGGCTTCCATTGCCCCTGTGGGTTCTCAAACAAATACTGTCCCGGAATTGCTTGCTCTCCTGGGTATCGCCGTGGCAGTCGAGCATTAAAGTCGCCGAGTAAAATGGTAGGCCCATGGGATTTGCACTTGGCTGTAAAGCGCAATAGGTCCGTGAAGAAGTCGTGCCGGATGTCGTAAGAGTGCTCGTTCGTCCACGCGTACGCCGTGACGATCGTGAGGACACCCCCTTGCACCCTCAGGCGGAGGCTGGCCATTCGACTATCTTGGAGAAGATAACCTTTGACCGCATAGCGCCCCCATGGCGCAACTATGAATCCGACTCCTGCGTATTCTCTGCCCTCGCCCTCCGACCCAGAGAGAATGATGAAATACCCTTCGAATGTAAAAACATGCGAACCACGGCAGTGTGTCTCTTGAAGACACAACACATTGATGTTAAAATTGCACATGTGTCGTGTTAATTCGTACAGCTTATGCGGCTGCTCCAAGTTGATGCCTTCGACATTCCAGGTAGCAATACAGCCGCACTCGACTGGCCAACATGGATATGTTTCCCATTTGCCCGTCGATGCTTCCTTAAAGGTGCCGATACGCCGTTGTGACCCCTATTCGGAACGCGAACCACCTTTCTTACCCTTCCCACCGCCCTTCACGGCGCACTCCAAAACAGAATTGGCACGCTCGGTCAGGGAAGCTACTTCCGCGCTGCCCGTGAGGCTTGCCCAGTGTGCCCAAGGGCCTTGCCATTCAATTTGAAGAGCGGGCCCAGAAACACGCACACTCACCACAGGCTCCTTAGCAACTTTGAGTTTCTGCTCCACCGTGTCCACACGTGCTTCGCCTTTCGAATACCCCCATCCAATGAGCACTTTACGTAATCCAAATAAGAAGCTTTCGGGTACCCTCTTCTCCAAAGGCTGATCGGCCCTAGTCCAGATCGCATTTTCCCCATGCTTGAGTTCCGCTCTCTCCAAGATGTTTACACATTTGTCCCGGGATGCTGCTGTATCGAATTTGGCGAAAGCGATGTTCTGGAAGGAGCCGCCTTTGATGAACACGTCCACGGGATCCGGGGCACCAAGACGGAGAAGCTGCTGCTGAATCCTCCCAGTTGCGTTTTGCAACGTGTCAAAGTTACCGAGGCCACCGATAACTGCGACACAATCGTGCTGCTTGCTGATGGTGAGCTCGGCCACTTGGCGTTCCAGCTCCAAGAGTTTGTATTCCATCTGACTGGTATTGGTCGCCCCGGAGCGCGCTGAAGATGCCCTGGAAGTCTGCTCCAAAGCATCGACGCGGGAAGCAAGGTCGCCAAGATCTTTTTGAAGAGGAAGGACTGCTCGCTTCAAATCATCTTGTAACACCCTGTGCTGTTTGATCGCTTTGATGTCGTTCTGGATGGGTTGGAGTTGCGCCTGGAGTATTTCTTCAAAGTATCCCACCGTGAGCGCTTCCCCATCTTTACTTCCATCATCGGTAGCGGCTGCGGCCTCCAAGCTGTCCTGGAAGTGGCGCTGGCGTACGGCTGCAGACCCGCTGTCGGCCTCGTCGGAGAGGCCGTCCATCTCGTGCAGCGGGCTGTGGATCCGGTGTTGCTTTGCTCGCCCCGCTGGCTGCAAGACGTCCTTGACTGGGGTGCCAGCCCTGCGGGTCTGCCTTGACGTAGTCGGGGACGTCGTACCTGGTTCCATTGTTTCTGCCTGCGCGGTCGGGAAGAGAGAAATAAGATATTGATGCAAGATGTGTGGTCAGAAGGAGTAACAGTAGGATGTAAAGGTGAGTGCGCTCGGCGGTGAGCGGGGGGGGGGAAGTGAGAAGGAGAAGGCCTTCTCAGAAGGCGGCCTGACTACTCAGAATCCCTCGCGCCTCCTGAGAAGTTCTGTTCTGTCGTCGGGGAGGGCTCAGAGAACTCATCAGGAGGCCGGGGGACTTCCGAACCTTCCGAGAGCGCCTTCTCCTCCTCTCTTCCCCCCCTCGCTCGCCGCCGAATACTGCACGTTCGCACGGCGGGACATGTTTGGTTCGCGTATCGCGCCGCCGAGGTTGGCCCACCGTGCCTCGGCAAGACGCGCGCGCTGTCCACGGCCTCACCCCCGAGCTTCAAGCTCCCGAGCCTTTCCCAACTTCCTGTCCTGCGACGCGGAGCGACGCGATACCCGCTTGCAGCCCCCAGCGTGTCGCGGGTCGCCGCCGCGACAAGCTAAGCACAAGCTAAGCACAAGCTAAGAACAAGATGCGCACAGGTCGGGGGCGTCTCGTCTCCAGGGCCCGCGGAGGTCCGCGTGACGCTTCGCTCGAGTGCTGGCTTTGTATTGTAGCCTCCTGGCTTCTGCCTCTCGCTTGTTGCCAGAGCGAGCGCTGCTCTAGTGCACTGCCTCTGGCCCGCGTTTGAAAAAAACAAGTTCTTGACCGTAGCTGAGCGTCTGGCGCTCGCGAGTCTACCCCGAGTAATGTCCACTACGCTGTGTGCGCGGTGGTGGTTGCGAACATCGAATCATGGTCATGTTGAGGATGCCACTCCTGGAAGATTTGATTCGGCCACGGCGCTGGTACATCTGTGGTTGACACGCGGCCTTATCCAGAAGCATCCCGTTGAATTCCTGCGAATCCCGTTGATCTCAGCTTGAAGTTGGCTCGATCCAGCATACTCCCGCCTGATGGCCTCCGAGTCGGGCTTGACATCACTCGATCCTTCTTGCGACCCCCTCCCAGGAGTTGTCTTCTCGGCGTATCATATGCAGTCCTGCTTCCGTTCCTCCCGTCGCACGCTTGTTCTCCCCCTCTGTCTCCCCTTATCTGATCTTCGTCCCGTCTGTCCTCCTGTCCTCCTGATCTTCGTCCCGTCTGTTCTCCCTGTCCTCCTGTCCTCCCGTCTGTCCCTGATCTTCGTCCCGTCTGTTCTCACTCCTGTTCTCCTGATCTTCGTCCCGTCTGTCTTCCCCTCTTCTGTCCGTGCCCCACTGTGCCTCGTTGCGTCTCTCACCGTTGCCCTGCCGCTGCCTGGATCCCAGCGGCCGCCGACAACAAAAAAGTCTGTCCCCGGTCTCGGCGGTCTGTCTGCGGGTCCCCAGGGGGGAGGGGGTGCCGGCCACTCGGGGGCCAGGAGACGGGGGTCAGTGCAAACAGGGGTCAGCCAGGGCACCGGATCCTGCAGGATCCGGCGAAGACCCCCTCTGGCTGACCCGGGTTAGGGAGCCGCGCGTGGCCGGGGGGCGGCCGCGCCTATTGGCTGACCCGGGTTTGCGAAGACCTGCGTTGCAGTTGTTTTTTCCCTGCATTGCAGTTTTTGGTTTCCTGCTGACCCGGGTCTGGGTTGACCCGGGTCAGAAGATCCCCGAGCCACGCGCAGAGGCGGGCAGGGGGAGATGGGAGTATTTATTAGAAGAACATCTGTTTCTTCGAAGGCGCGGGCCAAATCTAGAGAGCAGTGTCGTCGATCCAATCCCCATCCCCATCCCCATACCTTTCGAGACCCCCACCAAATTACCACCCCAGTTGGGGATACACCCCTCGAAGCCCGAAGGGGACGGCCTATATCCCCATCTAGTGGGGTAAATTGGCCAGTGTGGCCCAGGCCACGCCAGTGGGGATGGGGATCGGATAAACGGTATTCAATAGATGTAAGGCTGGCGCCTTCTAGAAGCACCCTCCGTCTAAGACGCCTTCCCTCCTCCCCCGACCCCTTTGTGCGCGTCGCCAGAGTGGAGGGGGCCAGGACGAGGATAAGTCCGTTCCAGAGCGTTCGCTCCCAGAGCGTTCCGGAACGTTTTGAGGAGTCCGCGGCACCCGAGACATTCTCCAGATCCGCCAGACCTCAGAGATTCTCTGTCCTCACCCGACGGAGGAGGAGGAGGACGAGGACGAGGACGAGGAGGAGGAGGAGGAGGAGGAGGACGAGGAGATCGAGGAGGAGGAGGAGGAGTAGGAGGAGGACGAGGAGGAGTCCTCGTCTTGGCCTCGTCCTCGGGGGTGGGAGCGGCGGCCCTCGTCCCCCGCGCCTCTCCTGGTGCTGGTGGCGCGGGGGGAGCGCGGCAAGGCTGCCGCAGCTCGTTTCCTGCGGCCGGCCGCCTGCGGCTGGGCGGGGTGACCAGACCTCCGACGATACCCGTCTCAAGCAGTGGCAAATCGTCTTGGCTTGCATAGAGGCCTACCAAACAATGTTCTAAGAACATTTGGTGGTTTCCACGACATGTTCTCAGAACATTTCTGGCTGGGGCTGTCTTGTCTTGACACGTCGGGTTTATGTTCTAAGAGTATCGTTTTCGTTGTTGGAACACTTTTGGGGCTCTAAGAACATCGTGGTAGGTCTATAGGAATGCTGGGACGATCGGTCCCTGCTCAACCGTCGGTCATTGGAAGTAGGTACCTTTGGATTCCCAGATTCTTGCCTACTTTAGGCGCCTTCCCACTCAATCGTCGAGTGGTTTTCCCTTGCCCTGCCTCCACCGGGGGCAGGCAGAAAACCCAGACTACTTTCAGCCCCTTCCTACGTCATGTTTCTAGCTAATATTATCGACGGATGGCTGTCTGTTTTTCCAACCGGCGATTCTCCTTGAATTTCGGCGCTCGGGGGCGCCATTGTCGGGCCCCCAGGCAGTCAACAACGGATTCCCGGGTGCAGAATTGTTTGACCCCACTTTAGCGGCCAGGACCAGTGAGGCCGCGGATTGAAACAAATCAGGTCGACGGATGTCAGGGTGCGGCGGGCAGGCGCAGGACCCGGAGAAATCGTTCCAGAGCGAGCCCGGACGCTTTTAGGGCGTTCCACCGCGCTTTGGAACGGCCGCGGCGCCAGACGCACAGCTTCCGTAGCCGCCGGCTCCCAGAGATCTCCGATTCGTCTCGGTTTGCTGCTGTTGTGGTCCTTGTCCTTGTGTTCGTCTCAGTGCGGGGGCGGCAGGGGGTGCGCAGGCAGCAACGGTGTGCCCTGCGCTGTGGGGCTCAGCTGCTCCTCCTTGTCGCTGGGGCAAGACCTACTGTTAAGTCGGGCCTGTCCCTCTACAGGAGGTATATTCAGAAATAGCCAGAAACGATAGTCTGGGGACGATTTGTGGAGCATGTTCGAGCATTGTTTTGAGTATATTTTGGTTAATTTTTATTTTTCGACCAAAATCCCCCTGTAGGCGGATTTTGGTCGACTGAACACCTACTGTGGGTCTCGCCGCCGCCGCCGTTGTCGCGCCGCCGGCATTGGCGCCGCCTCTCCTCGTTGTCGGTGTCGGAGTCGCCGCTGCGTCGCCAGCCCCGTCGGCTTCGGCGCCGTTGTCGCGCCGCGTCGTCGTCGTCGTCGTCCTCGTCGTGTTCTCGTCGTGTTCTCGTTGTCGCCGTCGCCGTCGCCGCCGCCGTCGTCGTCGTCGTCGTCGTCCTCGTCCTCGTCGTCGTCCTCGTCCTCGTCCTCGTCGTCGTCGTCGCCGTCGCCGTCGTCGTCGCTGCGAGCCCCCCTCCCGGCGACGGGGCCCGAGCGGGGGGGGGGGCGCCGCTGAGGCTCGGCCCTGGGGGCGCTGGGCGAGAGCAGGCAGAGCGGCATGGCGGCCGACGCGTACGGCGTGCCCCAGGAGTTCCGCAGCCCGACCGCGCCAAACACGCTACAGTTAGGTCGGGCACGTCCCTCTACAGGAGGAATCTTCAATAAATAAATAAATAAATAAATAGTCACGGGACGAATTGATCAGCATTTTTCGGCCATTGGGGGGCATCTTTTTTGAGTATTTTTTGATTGTTCGTCCAACGTCCCCCTGTAGGAGGACAGGCCCGACTTCACGCTACAGGAGTAGAACATTGTGTCCGTGAGCTGGGGGCGCAAAATTAGCATTCAGTATTCAAATACACTCCGCCGATGGGAACCCATCATCGTGGCTCGGGTATAGCCAGGACCCCAGGTAAGGGGACCCGCTTAGTAGAAGGGCCCCAGAGCTCCTAAATTGGCCAGGATCACTAAACCAGGCCTGCCGTGGCTGTTGTTTTTTCGGGTGACGGCAGCTCTGGTCAGTGAAATGGGGCGGGGGGGAGGGGCGTCCCCGGTACACATCACTAAACCAGGGTCCACAAAACCCAGTTTTGCCAACGCCCGATACAGGAATAGAACGTTGTGTCCACTAACTGGGGGCGCAGAACCAGTATTCAGTATTCGAGGACACTCCGCCGAAGAGAACCCCTCATCGTGGTGAATTGCCGGGCCGTCTGACAAACACGAGGGAGCAGCACGCTGCAAGGACTGGCAGCATCGGCGTGTTATTGATAACCTTTTCTCAGACATCGGATGTCTTGGGTTTTTCAGCACGAGGTCTCAGGAAGTCCGGATCCTTTACACCAGAGTAGGTTTTTCATCCCCCGCCTTTTGTCGACGGTCCCGTGGCCCAGCGAGGGCCCCTGGAGGCCGAAGATTCCAAAATCGTAGCGCCGTGCTCTTTTCCACGGTGCGGGTGTGTCTGGGCCTTCCCCTCCCGAAGAGCCTCGAACCCCCTGTGGGAAAAATTCTCAAAAAAAACACTGTGGGAAAACACACACACACACGTGGGAAAAACACACACACACACACACACACACACACACACACACACACACACACACACACACACACACACACACACACACACACACACACACACACACACACACACACACACACACACACACACACACACACACACACACACACACACACACACACACACACACACACACACACACACACACACACACACACACACACACACACACACACACACACACACACACACACACACACACACACACACACACACACACACACACACTGTGGGAAAAAAACACACAGACTGTGGGAAAAACACAGACTTTTCCCACAGTGATTTGTCCCACAGTGTGTGTTTTTCCCCCCCCCCTTCCCGAGGAGTTCAGCTGCCCCGTCCTGCTGCTCGCAGTGCGCGACGACCCGGCGTGCCCCTTGGCGGCCGTGGAGCGGCTCGCGGGGCTGTTGCCCGGTGCGGAGGTGGCCGTGGCCGCGGATTTCGCGGACCGCGGGCCCTCCTCGGTCTTTCTATCGAGGAAGGGGATGGAGCATCGGGTCAAGGAGGGCCCTCCTCGGTCTTTCGATCGAGGAAGGGGATGGAGCATCGGGTCAAGGCGTCTTCAAGGAATTGTGACGGCCGGTTCTTCTATGTGGAGCGTTTTCGGACGGGGCCTGGACGAGGATAGACCCTTTTCTCAGAGCGTTCCGGAACGCCCTCAGAACGTTCCGGAACGCTCTGAGAAGGCCGCGGCGCCCAAGACATCCTCCAGAGCCGCCGGATCTCAGAGATTCGAGACTCCTGATAAAAAGCCGATCCCAGGGAAGAGGTCGAGATCCCCAGTGGCCTAAAGGTGTGGTGACCACACCGCGTGGTGAGTCGGTGGGGATTCGGGGTTGCCTCTCTGGTTTGAGACTCGAGGCGTTCTCCGAGGACGGCTCGAGCGACCGGGGCCTCCGGGGTCCCAAGTCCGTGTGGTGACGGGCCGTGCGGTGAGGTCCTTCGAGATCTCGAGGCCACCTCGCGGTCTGTCACCACACGGTTTTGGGACCCCGGAGGGATCCCAGCTTCTCGGCCGAGGTCGGGCCGAGCCCTTGTCCGCCCAGTGTCGTTGGTCTCGGGGGCTGGCCCGTTCTGCTGCCGCCGTGCACCCTGCTCCACGCCACCTCCCAGGGCACCCTCTGCTTCCGTGCTGCGCGGGATTGCGCGGGGCTTCTTTCCATGAGGTAGTTTTTGCTTCCGCGTGGTCTCGGGTTCTCTTCGTCGGTGGCCGCCACCCCAGGGATCCAACCGAGTCGGGCCGTGTTTTCACGCTCTCATGTGCCCACCGCTGGCAGTCGCAGCTGAACGCGGTGGTGCGAGCCGACGCGTATCGTTTACAAGGGTTCGAACACTACTCATGGTCCTCCCATCTTCCATCTTTCGTTGTATCAATGTCATCATCACCACCAGTGTCATCATCAATTCCTCATTTCACGTATTTACTGTGCTATCCACTTGAGCTCAAAACGTTTCAGTTCGATCCACTTTTGATTCGCGACGCATTGGGGCTCGAGGCGGACCGCTTGGAGATGCCAGCGGTGGCGGGACAGCGCATACTCCTGCAGCTGTGTTTCCGGGGGGTGGCTGGGGAAGCTTGCAGTCCCCAGAACGCCCGCGACCACCAGCACCCTAGCGACCCCCGCCACCTTGATAATACTGGCGAGCGCTGGTTACAAAGCAAGTCCGAATCGATGCCGTTCGATGCGCCAGCATGGGCCTCGATTTTGGGTCGATTCGATTTGATTCGTTTCGGTTCACATGTATCGGCTGGAGCCACCTGAAACCCGGCGCTGCGATTCGATCTCGATCCGATTCGTTCGCGATCCGATCCGTTTCCGACTCGATCCGGCTTCCCGGTTCGATCCACAGTTCTGTTTTGCCAGACCCACGGCGTAAGGAGTGGTGGAGTTGTTTTCCCGTGCCGCGCCTGTCCGTTCATGCCTTCGCTTCACTCTCGGGGGTTCTTGCTGCATGCATGCTTGGGAGAGATCAGATCGGCGTCGTTCGCGGGGGGCCCAGTGGCCCCGTCTGCTCCCGACGACGCGGTGCGATCGTCACGATCGTCGTCGGCAGGTGCGCCGCCACAGTGGGCATTGGCGCCCCTCCCCCCCTCAGCGTTAAGTCGGGCCTGTCCCTCTACAGGAGGAATGTTCCAAAATAGTAAAAAAGTCGTCTGGGGATTTTTTTTCCTGTTTTTCATTTTTGCCACTTTGGGGGTATTTCTGGGGTATGCCTTATTTATCGTCCACAATCGGCCTGTAGGGGGACAGGCCCGACTGAACCCCAGCGGGGCGCGCAGGGCTCCGGCGCACGTTCGCGCGCGAGGCCGAGGGGTGCGCCCCGACGGCACACCGGCAGAGGTGCCGCACGGCAGAGCGCGTGCCGGCCGCGCGGCGGCACCCGCGGTTCAGAGCGTGAATTACCTACCCCGCTTTCGCTTCCAGGCAAAACCAAGTCATACCACGCGCCTCCTCGCCAAGCGGCTTGACCAGTACAGGCCGTAGTTTGACATCGCTTGGTATCTCTTGGAAGCGAGGGTGGTCAAAAGCGAGGTAGGTTTGTTTGCCCCCTAGCGGTGAAGGATCGGGGGAGCGTAAGACCCGGGTGTGCCAGGACTCGGGTTCGCCATCGTTTCTTGACGACCGCGCCTCGGACTTGGACGAGGAGGAGTTTCGTGGGATGTCTGCAGCGGGAGGCCTCGTCCAAATGCGGGCTCGGCCTCGTCATTTTTTTGACGACCTCGTCGGGGATTTCCGAGTCCCCTGTACCCGGGTCTTACGCCCCCCTGAAAGGAGAGGATGATTTGCACGAGCGAAATGGGTACGGAAATCATGGGTACGATTTAAGCAGTGGCGAAGCGTCCTGGCGTGCCTTTAGCCCTACCAAACGATGTTCTGAGAACCAGGCATGGTTTCACGAAATATTCTCAGAACAGTTCTGGCGGAGTCTGTCTTGTTATACCACATCGGGCTTATTTTCTAAGAACATTGCTTTTGTTCTAAGAACATGTTATCACACCTGGTTTATGTTCTAAGAACATTTCGTGGTAGGACTATCGGAGTGCCGGGACGGTCGGTTCCTGCTCAAAAATGGGTACGGAAAGAATGGGTACGATGCCCGACCTCATCGGGCCGAACGAAAGGGGGGGATTGGGAAAGGGGGGCTACGAAATCTGCTGCATGCAGCTGGTTTCGGCCCCACCGAGGGGCCCATTCCTCGATACATAGCCGCCTCCGGCGCCGGGAGGCGCCGGGAAAATCAGCCACGTGAGCCGATTCTCAAGTCCCCCTTTGCTATTCCCCCCTTTCGCCCGACCCGACATCAGTTCCTGTTCATTTTGAACAGGACTCGCTGTCGGTGTCGCCGCGGCCTGTGTCCATTTGAGACAGAAGGCCGCCTGCCCAACAGTGGCCGCTGTCGGTCTGGGGCAACAGTTGTCGTTGGGCATCGCTTTGTACACATTCTTTCCGTGCCCAATTTCGGGCGTCCAAAGAGAAGGCCAACCACGATGGCGACGAGGACGACGACGGAATGGGCCTGGCATCTCTCGGACGTGTGCATTTTTTCTCGGCGAGGGCCATGGAGGAGCATACTGGGCCATGTTGCGAAAAAGCCACGCACGAAACCGATAAATGCACGGGGAATCGACGCCCGAGCGATGGCAGGAGGTGGCGGGAGTCGGGGGAGGGGCGGGGTACGCCACAGTGGGAGGGCGACGCAGGAGGAGCGGGGAGGGTGAGCAGGAGGCGGGGGCGGCCCCGTAGGGCGTTGTGGAGGACGATCCATGGGGAGGAAGCATGCTGCCAAATCATTTCCAGATGTCTAAAACATGTGTTACACATGTTTTAGACATTAGAAAACATGTTGAACACATGTTGAAAACATGTTTAGAACATGGAGAGGAAGCATGTTGCTAAATCATTTCCAGATGTCTAACCTATGTTTCAAACATGCTTTAAATATGTTAAACAACATATTCAAAACATGATTAAAACAGTTTTCGGGATTTTACACACATGTTAGATTCGATGATAGAATTGTTGTAGGGTGTCCATTGTCCTTGCATCCGTGACCGTATGGTGACGTCTTCTCGGGGGCCTTCTCCGTTCTCCGGCAGAGGAGGCGCGGCGCAGCTGGGGGCAGCTCATCGACAAGTTCCTGCGGAAGGCGTGGATGAAGGAGTTCGGCAGAATGACAATTCTTCGTCCTCATGGTCCTCGTCATCTGTGTCGGGCCCTGTCCCTCTACAGGAGTGATCTTCAAAGATAGTCAAGACATTGTCAGGGGGCGATGTTTTCACTATTTTTGAATATATATTTTTTTGGGGGGGTCAGTATTTGTTATTTTTCGTCCAAAATCCCCCTGCAGGGGACACGCCCGACTTAACTCTTCATCATCCGCTCCGTCCTCCATTTCCTCCGGCTCCTCGTCTTCCTCCTCGTCCTGAGCCTCATCGTCCTGATCCCCCCTGTCTTCCGAGAGTCCAGGGCGATTGCAGGGAGGCGGCGCGGGATCGCCCCCCCCCCTCCCGCTGCTCCTCCTCCCGGGCTTCCCTCCAGTGGCTGGCGGATGCCGCCCTTCTCCTCCCCAGGAGTTCCTCACCAAGCGTGTCATGCCACAGTGAGCCGCCGCCGCGGCTGCCGTGGTGTCATGCCCGCCCCCCGGGCGCGGCCTTGACGCGCGCTCGCGCGGTCGGGGGCTGGCGGCTCGGGCGTACGCCCCTCGGTTGGCTCGAGCGCCGAAGCAGAGAGTCGGGAACCAGGGCGGGGGAAGCTACAGTCGGCCCGGATTAGCAGGTCGACCATGCCAGCTCAAGGGTACCCTTGTGTCCTGTGCCTCGCGACACGTGCCTTCGTACACTCCTGTGACAATGTGGCTCTCGGAAGGGTCTTGTATCCTCTCGCGTGTCTTCCCCAATCAAGTCCGACGGTAGGGCGAAGCCCAGACGAACAGACTGCATCACAGAAGAGCAAACGGATTGCAGCACGGCCTGAGGAGCGAAGAGCGAGGAAATGGTAAGACCACGAACGGTCGGAGGTCCGCGCGAATTTCTTGGATCGGCGCTGGAGACCCTCGGCGGCGCCTCCGGCGCCGCCCTTGGACGGCTCCACGCGCCGTGGAGGAGGTTCCAGCACGAAGCTAAGAGATCTGCGCAGAAGGAGGGGGAAACGTGGAGCAGAAGTGAAGAGGCCGAGGGAGGACTGGGAGGTGTCGCAGACCTAGAGATTGACACCAACACCAACATCGGCGGTGTGCCTCCACCGAGGGAAGATGATCCCGATTTCGGTGGTGGTGGTGGTAACATTCTGGCTTCAGGGTGGCCGAACTATTACCACCGACACCGAAACCTAGGATCATATTCCCCCTGTGGCGGCAACCCCCTGTGTCGGTGTTGGTGCCGATTTCCATGCCTCCAGAGGTGGCCCGCGCTGAAGGGGCGACAGGAGCCGCCGGTGTGCAGAGTGGCAGGGGGGATGCCTGGCTCCAAGTTTGGGCATCTCTTGAGCATCTTTGCTGGCATGTTTTATCATTTTTCCTCCCAAATCCCCCCCTGGGGGGACAGGCCCGACCTGAACCGAAATCTGGCGTGTGTGCAGCCGGCTGCGGCCCCGCGAGGAGGAGGAGGAGGAGGAGGAGGAGGAGGAGGAGGAGGAGGAACACAGGAGGGAGGAGGAGGAGGAGGAGGAGGAGGAGGAGGAGGAGCAGGAGCAGGAGCAGGAGCAGGAGCAGGAGGAGCAGGAGGAGCAGGAGGAGGAGGGCCGAAATCTGGCGTGTGTGCAGCCGGCTTCGGCCCCGCCGCCGGGCGCCTCCCTCGGTGCGGAGCACGGGCGGCGTCGGGAGGGGGGAGTCAGATGCGTCCTCCTCCTCCTCCTCCTCCTCCTCCTCCTCCTCCTCCTCCTCCTCCTCCTCCTCCTCCTCCTCTCTCCTCCTCCTCCTCCTCCTCCTCCTCTCTTCCTCCTCCTCCTCCTCCTCAGTGGAGTCGCTGGCCCCCCCCCCTGCCTGCCCTTCCCTCTCGTCCGCCTTTCGTGTGCGACGCCTGGGTTCAGGCCGACCAGGGCGCGCCGCTTCCATCGACTCGACGCACCGACCAGGCCGCATACCCAATTTGACTACGGGGCGTCCAGAACCATCGGGACAACGTTGCAAACCATCGGGACAACCATCGGATCAACCATCGGTACACCCATCTGGACAACCATCGGGACAACTATCAGGGGAACCATGGGGACAACCATGGGGTCAGCCATCAGGACAACCATCGGGACCACCATCAGGACAACCATCCGGACAGTTATCGGTGCAACCATCGGGACGATTTGAGGGCCACCGGGGGCCACGGCTATCGGGACAATTGTTTCGATCTATCTGGACAACTTGGGGACCACCCCGGACAAGAAACCAGACCTGGGGACGTCCGGGGGCCTTGGCCCCTGCTAGGGCAGGAATTCGCGCACTTTCGCATCCCACGCAAGCAAGTCACAGACAAAACCAACTGAGTTCACGTTTCACTTCGGTCTCGAGTCAGCCCCCACAATCTCCGACAACCGAACATACCGAAACTACATAAACAAGCGTACACGAAATACAGCCCTGGTATGACGACGTGGTCCAGTATTGTGAGCATTCCTTGTATATCAACCAGTTGCACCACATGGAGATTACGATACTTACTCGGGTACATCATGATCGCAGCGCCATTTGTTCGTTGCCCTTTGCCAGCATGGGCCGGGGCCATGGGAATGGGTGCAAGCACTTCCAAGACTTTAGCGACGACTTTCAGCCTTGATGGTGGCGCATCGGCCCAGGTGCGCCCGGGCATTGCTCTTTGTGCACGCGCATCTGATCATTGTGTCCCAGTGTAGTGCCAGCGACGTGCTCGGTTTGGTGTTTCACACCCAGTGGGTTGCATGGCGCCTCTCACTTCGCTAGCGCGCATGGTTTCTGGTTCGCAATGATGTGAGCGTTTGCTGATGGCGCGCGGGCATGATCAGTGCTCTTTTGTGCATCGCTACATCTGATCATTCATTATTCGCGCGCGCGCCGACACAATTCCATGTCGCTCGAACCTCCAGGAAGTCGCACCGAGTCCGAGCATTGCTTGCACGTGCGGCTGGGTCCCAGTCGGGTTGTGACAACGTGATCGTTGATCGGTCACTGGACTTGATTGTCAGTTCGTGATGCTGATGGTTGATTGCGCACAGCATCGCTGGACTTGTGGCCTTAATCGCATATATCGACGCTTCTTGTTATCCAGCTGACTGCGACAAGTCTCGCTCTCGTGTTTGCGCAGCACTCCTTGTGGCGACTCCTCGGGCACTGCCCAGATGGCTGTGACACCTCTTGTCTCTGTCTGCGCCGTCTTGGGGCTATTCCTCTTGGGTCCCCCTTGGGGCCATCTTGGGATCCCCTGCGGACGTCTTTGGGGCTCTCTCTCTCTTGGGCCGTCTTGGAACCCTCTAGGCCGTCTGGAGAATCTGCTGGTGTCCTCTTGGGCCATCTCGGGTCCTTCTCCAGATGTCGTATGTTTTCCGCCGTCTTGGGACCCTCCTTGGTACTGTCCTGGGTTGTCTGGGATGCTCTTTCGGCCTCTCTTTGGCTCCTTCGAGGCCCACTGGAACTATCTCTAGCCGACTGGCCCTGGAAGCGCAACAGTTTGTTTAAAATATAAGCATTCTCTCCGTGTGCGAAATTGCAGGCAAGCGCGTATGCCATCAGATTGGGTTCATGAAGGGAACGCGTCAGGAGTATCACAGATGTGGGAGCTCGATGTCGAGTACTAGGATGCCAGAGTCCTGCGCAGTTCCGTTCATACGCGCTGCCATTCGAGGAAAGAGAACCCTAGAGGCTCCGAGGGTGGAGAAAAAACTAGGATGCCAGAGTCAGGTTTTTTGCTCACACGAATCCATCTCAAGGCGCACACGTGTTTGCCAGTTCGCCGTGAGCAGACGTGGTTGCGTTCAGTGTTTTCGCCTTCGCTCCAGGGGGCCCAGCGCGGGTGCTCGCCGTCGTGTGAAGCTTGCGCGCGCTGTGTGGCCCGAGGGGGGACCGGCTGGACGAGAACAGAGGCTGGGTAGTCGAAGGCCAGACTGTCAGATTGGATTGGGCCCCAAGGGCCAATCTGGCCCGGCCAAACTGGAGGATTTGGGTTATTCGCCAGATTGGATTCGCGTTGGCTCCCTCGCCAGATTGCCCCCGTTTGCCAGATTGGGCCTGCCAGATTGGCGCCAGATTGGCTTCGACTACCCAGCTTATGTTTCATGCAGTTGGTGTCGTTCTCGCCGTCGAGTGGTTTCCTCGAGCGCATGGCCGCTCCAGGCGTTTACGCAGAATTCTTCACGCTTCGCGTATCCCCACCAGCCCATCTCAAAACAGCAACTCTTGCGAAGCATGCCGACAGTCGTGTTTGTCAGGCGTGTTTCCGCCTGCCCCCGCATATCTCCCCTGTTCCTCCTTCCTCCCGCCTCCTTGTACATCCTCCTTGTGGTGGGAGCGGGAGAAGGACGAGGCGGAGGAGGAGGGAGAGAAAGCGCTCCTCGTGGTTTGAGTCGTTTGGGGTTTCTCGTCCTGGTGTGAGTCGTTCGGGCCCTTCTTCCTGGTGTGAGTCGTTCGGGCTCTTCGTGGTGTGAGTCGTTCGGGCTCTTCGTCCTGGTGTGAGTCGTTCGGGCTTCTCGTGGTGTGAGTTGTTCGGGCCCCTCGTCCTGGTGTGAGTCGTTCGGGCCCCTCCTCCTGGTGTGACTCGTTCGGGCTCCTCGTGGTGTGAGTCGTTCGGGGCCCTCGTCGTGGTGTGAGTCGTTCGGGCTCCTCGTGGTGTGAGTCGTTCGGGCGCCTCGTCCTGGTGTGAGTCGGTCGGGCCCCTCCTTCTGGTGTGAGTCGTTCGGGCTCTTCGTGGTGTGAGTCGTTCGGGCCCCTCGTCCTGGTATGAGTCGGATGTCTTTTGGGAGCCTCTGGAGGCCTTTTGGGGCGTCTTGGGGGCCTCTTGGCGGCCCCAGGGGCTTCTAGGAGCGTCTTGGGTGCCTTGGGGGAGCCTCTTCGGGCCTCTTGGGAGCCTCTTGGAGGCCGTTTGGGGCGTCTTGGGGGCTTCTTGGCGGCCCCAGGGGCTTCCAGGAGCGTCTTGGGTGCCTCGGGGGAGCCTCTTGGGGCCTCTTGGGGGCCTCTTGGGGGCATCTTGGGGGCCTCTTGGAGGCCTCTTGGGGCCTCTTGGGGCTCTTTGTGAGGGGTCTGGGAGGTATCTTGGGGCCATCTTTCGGGCGATCGATCACAGCTGGGGCGAGCATTTTTGTCAGTCCCCCCGTCGGGGCCAGAATCCTCGTGAGGGGTGTCGTTTTTTAGCCCTCCCAGGAGTCAAAAAAGACCCCTCCAACCACCCGCGAAAGGACCTCTCCAGGTCCAGGGGGAGGGGGTAGGGGGAGGGGTAACCCCTCCCCGAAGGGGAAGAAGGGGGGTTGAGAACAGAGAGAGCTCGCTAAACCACTCACGCCCAAAGGGCTGGTGGGATTGCCTTGACACCAGCTGCGCGCTCGCGGCCAGCTTTTCTCCCGATCTGGCCGTGGAGCGTCATGTTCCTAGTGCCGTAAGCTCCACGTGATATTCCAGGAGCGAGCCTGGGAGCAGGCCTGGGGTCTTGGCTGGGGGTGAGCGGGTGGCCTGTCAAAGCGGGGTTGAATCGTGGTGCCAGTTTGGGGCTGCACAGACACTAGCACCCCGTTTTTCGCCTTTGTGAGGTTCGGGCGATGGGACCCAAGGCCCATCGCGGCGGTGTTACGCAGGCGCGTCGGCTCCGGTCCGTGCAAAACCACACTGCGCGCGCGACTTAACAGCAATAATCGGCGCCGGCAGCGGGCTTCTGTCTCCATGTATTATTGACTCTTCTGAGTAGCCATTCTGGCTCAAGGCCATGACGCTCCAGCGCTCGATCCCTCGTGCTGCGTTCCCCCCGACACCCCCGGCCGCGTTCAGCGAGCACCGAGGCGGTTCGCCTTGTGCAGACGCCATGCCCTCCAGGCAGGCGTGTGCCTCCGCTGTCGTGACGCGGACGAGCTTCGACACCTGCGCCGTGGCCACGAGGAGCATCGAGGGCGGGTGGCAGCAGAACCCGGTCAGGGCGCCCGTCTGGCCCCGCGAGGAGGAGATCCCGTGGTCCGCGGGCCTGGTACGGGCCAGTGCCCCGTTCGATGAGCAGACCCCGCTCGGCGCTTGGCGCGAGGCGGAGATCCCGTGGCCCGCCTTCCCGGTGGAGGACACGAGCAGCGGCGGCGGCTTGGAGCGCCCGTCTCGGGCGTTCGATTCGCCGAATCGGACGCAGCGGCGCCGGATGCAGCGTCGGATCAAGAAGCTCATAGACAGGCAGGTGGTGTCCGAAGACTCGCAAGGCACGCGGACTGTAGGCACGCCTGCAGGAGTTTTCGTCCAGCCGGCATGGGCCTCTTCTCGGAGTTTTCTGTGACGATGGGGCCGAGCGATGTGGCGTGGGCGCGTCTGTGGATGATCAGCAGCACAAGGCTCGAGCTAATCAGTGTTTGTCTTAAGTCGGGCCTGCCCCTCTACAGGGGGAATTTTCAAAAATAGTAAAACAATAGTCTGGGTTTTTTTTATACTATTTTTGAGCATCTTTCGAGTATTTTTTGAATATCCGATTTTTCGCCCATAATCTTCCGTGGGGGGACAGGCCCAACTTAATTAACGCTAATCAGTGTTTGTCCGATGTCGTGGACCGAAGCAAGAGCGTAACGGACACAGAACTTCAACTCTGTCTGGCTGGAGCCTTGGGGCACCTCGCCGCCCCCGCGCGCCCGCTGGTGGCGCACGGGGCATCCGTGCGCCGCGCGCACCGGCCGGGGAGGCTGCGGGAGGTGCTTCTGGTCGGGGGCGGCAAAGAGGGGGGTGATGACTAGGGGGTGGGGGTGGATATCATGGCCGGGGCCCTGAGATCTCCCCAGATCTCATGGCCCTTCTTCTGGTTTTATAACGTCCCCGCCCCCCCCCCCTTGGGCCGCGCATATGCCGCCGGCCATGATTTGCACCCCCCCCTTTTGGACGCCCCCCTCTTGGCCGCTCCCGATCTGGATGTCACCGAGCGCGTTCTGCCGCTCGCAGAATGCCCACTCGCGCACGTCCAACAAAAACCACATGCCTTGGCATCGCTCGGACGTGTGTTTTTTTTGTTTCCTCGGCGAGGACCGTCGAGGAGCATCCTGGACCATCGAGCCAAAAAAAACGCACGGAATCGAAAAACGCACGGAGAATGGACGTCCGAGCGATGGTGAGATGCCTGCCTCGATGTAATGCGGCATACAACTGGAGACCTTGTGCCGCGTCAGTCTGCGCGGGGCGCAGGGTTTCCAGCACGCAGCGGCTTCAAGACTGCGGCGGAGATGGACCATGCACCCGCCGCGTCGGCACTGCGTAAAGTCTCACAATGCCTGTTCGTTTTCTGCAGCCCGCGGAGTTGTTAGCTGGCGCTGCAAGCCTTGACTAATTTCTGGCCCCTTTCCTGGGGCATTCTTCCTCACTCCTCCCATCCTCTTTTGGACTGTCTGTCTGTCTGCTTCCCCCGTTTTCCCTGGAGCGGTGCTCCAGGGGTCACCTGGTTGTCATTGGATCAAAACCACCTCCAGGGACGACCAGCCTTGGGGGGGGGAGGGCGACGATCGAGGATTTGTTACGCCATCCGGCACCAGGAATCAGGAATCAGCCGGAGCAGGAGAAGAATGAATTTGGGCGCAGATGCCTTGTGATGTTGCACGGTTTGCCCCATCGATGCGCCATGGGAAGCGTCGTGCGGGTGTAACAGGCGATTTGGGCGTGTTGACTAAAGGCCTCGCGTGTCGGGGTGGTTATTGTCGGGGTGGATTTTGTGCCTCTATAAGTGCATCATGCCAATTGCGCCCAGATGGCAGGCCTGTATGGTTTCACCTCTGTTTGCGTCACGCTGTTTAAAGGCGCAGTGCCCTCAGGTCGGAAACTGGAACATATACATGACCAGTGGCGGGCCGTTCTTCGATCCTGCGACCTTTCGAGGGTCGGGGACGACGTCGCGGTGGTCTGGTGTATTCTTTTTCCGTGATCATGCTTGTTTTAGGGCGCAGTGCCCACAGGACAGGAGGGAGGAGAGGATAGGAGACACAGACCCGTGGTCAGAGTTTATCCTTCTGTCGACGGTCGCACCTCTCCTGTCCGCAATGTGTTGAGTTCCTGGCTTCCCCATCGCGGTGCATTCAAAGGAAATGTGGGGTTGAGCTGTCGAGTTGGGAAGTGGGATTGGGGCCCCTTTTGGTCGGAACCATCGGGGCCCTTCTCAGTCTCCCCGTGTGGTTTGAGCCATCGGGGTTCTTCTGATCAGAGGCCTGCAGCCTCCGCAGTATGTGCTTTTTCCCGATCAGTTTGCTGAACGGGGTGGTAGAAGCTATTCTGAGAGCAACTACGTAACCTCCGCTCGGATCTGCCTGCAATGCCCAACAACCTGTATTATTGACTCTTCATCAGAGTGAGGGAGGGAACGGTCTTACGCAGTCCCTGGGTGCGTATCTGTAGTGGGATTCCGCTGTGCAGGTTGTCGTTGTTGCCGTCCTTTGCTGGACCGTTGGCTTGCGCCCCCTCCCCGCCCCCTCCTCTCTGGCGCAACGCAACGCAACAGGACCGCAGGATCTCTTCGGGCCCCTGCGGGGCCCCGAAGGGCTCCGTTGTTTTGTTCCCAAACCTCTTGCGTCGGGTTCTCGTTTTGAGAAGAGCACTGCGGTCGCGACTTCCTTCTCCCGCGTTCCCCCCCCTCTGTTTTCCTCCTTGTGTCTCCTGCCCTCCACCTTGGTATCGCTCGGACGTGTGCATTTTTTCTCGGCGGGGATTATTAAGGTGCATCCTGGATCATCCGGCGGAAAAAAAACACGCACGAAACCGAAAAAAAACACAGGGAATGGACGTCCGAGCGATGGCCAGCCACCTGGTGTGTTTCCTCGTCATCCCTTGTGGGGCTGCGAGCGGCGATACCTGCTGCCACTTTCGAAGGCTGTTGGGGAGGCCAGCGGAACGAGGCTCCACGCAGACCGAACTTAGACTTGTGGAGGACGATCAATGGAGAGGAAGCATGCTGCCAAATCATTTCCAGGAACATGTTTTACACCATTAAAACACATCTTTAACTCAATGATCGGACTGATAGGGTGTCCATTGTCGTGGCATCCACAAACATAGACCTCGCCAGCCCTGGGGGGCTGCGAACTGCGAAACCGCCGCCACGTTCGAGGGCCTTTGGGGTGCCCAGCGGAATGAGGCCCCCACGCAGACATAACTTAGACCTCGCCAGCCCTGGGGGTCTACGATCTGCGAAACTGTGGGACGACGACAACAAACAACAAGCAACAAACAACGCAGCAGCAACGACAACAACAATCCGCACCGCAGAACCTTACTTCAGCCACGCGCCCAGGGACAGTGAACGACTGTTCGGCCCCCCTCGGTCGTTCAGACACCTTCCGCAGTAAGGAACATTCAGTTATAATCATTTGGGATTGTGCAGAACGGTCCTACATAATAGAAGTTCACTTTGCCAGAGCGCACTTGCGTGTTCGGTAACATATTGGGATGAGATCCTCTAACAGATCCCGCGCACAACCAAACCGGCAAATGCAGCCGAGTTGCGTTGCGTTGCGTTGCCAGTGGGGTGGGCGCCCAGGTCCAGTGGTTTGTTCCAGTGCATGTAGCGAAGCGCCGAGCTGGAAGGCCCTGGCTGGGTGTACCAGCAGGTTGTTGTGCTTTGGTCTCGTTGATTTATTCGTCGCCCTGCAGCCCGCCTGCGACACGCCCCTGGCCCACCAGCCCCGCGACCCACCCGCGGCCCACCCGCAGCCCACCCGCGCCGCGACCCACCCGCGACCCAACCGCGACCAACCCGCGCTTCACCCGCGACCCGCGTCGCGACCGACGCGCGACCCGCCCTTGATCAACCCGCGACCCGCAGTACGATTCCCCCGCCGTCCCGCCGAAGGTCCATACGCCTCCCACCCACGTTGTTTCGACAAGATCGGAGCTTGCGGTGTGCTTGTTGCGAAGCGTGTTGAAACACAGTGCCTGCGGTTGTCGTCTTCACACTTGTTTCGACCATCGCAATCTGCTGGGGATTCAAATGATGCAGCGTTGCCTTCGGCAGGCGGCCGTCGTGGCCATTGTCTCCCCAATCTTAAACAGGCTGTCGCTCCCTTCCGCGTTTGCGGGGGCTATGCCAATCCATTTCGCCTTGGACTCATGAGAGTTGAAGGGATCATCCGAAGAAATCTGAAATCAATGGTCAGTGGCTGGAAGAGGAAAGGGATAGATGGACTCGACTTCCAAGCAAGAGCTTCTTAGCCAGATATTGAGAGTTGGGTGCTCCAGGGCGCTGGCGCTGGCGCTGATGGCAGCCCCAGACCAGGGGCCAACCTGCACCGACATCATTGCTGCTCTTCTTCCGTTTGTTCTTTTCTGAGTGGGGCGGGGGACAGTAATATTGTTGGGAGGACAAGTGATGGTGAGGAGGAGTGGTATCGTTTCTGTTTTTTGTTTTGCCGCCATTGGATGTAGCAGCCATGTTTGCCACCTGGAGGTCTATGCCACGCCCCATGCGCCCGCGCAGATCGTTGACTCCAGACGAGTGCCCTCTCGATCCCAGGGGAAGGTCTCACGCATTCAGAATGCCTGGGGCAACTTCTGCCGGTTCGTATGATAATGCGCTACATTGTTTCTGAATTTTCAGTTTGAATGTATTAATTGGCTCGTCATATTGGCTTCCGTAGGTTGCCTTCGCAATGAAAATTGCAGACGCCCAGCAGACAGAACAGATCACAAGACGAGTTCGACATTGCGTCGTTCCTCCTGTCTCTATGGGCATTCACCTTCAACGATTTCTGATGCGGTGCGGACGCCGAGCCAGACCAGCGTGCAGATCTAACAGCATTCGACCCTTCCTGCCACCGTGCCTGGGTTGTGGGTCGTCGGCTTCAAGGATGCTCGTTGGGATGTCGCCAGAGGCCTCTCGGGGGCCTCGTGGGTGCAGTTTTGAGGGGCGTCTTGGGGGCATCGGCCTGTTGGGGGTGCCTCTTGGGGCCTCCTCGTGGCCTCTTGGAGGCCTCTTGGGGCCTCCTGGAAGTCTCTTGGGGCGGAAGACTGGGATTTGCAGTTCGTGATGCCCCTCTTGGGCCCTTCTTGGGGCTGCCTTTGGGCCGTCTCGTGCCTCTCTCGGGTCGTGTTGGTGCCATACGTGGCCGTCTTGGGCCTGTCTTAAGGGCATCTTGGGGCGATCTTGGAGGCCTCTCGGGCCATCGTGGAGCGTCGGGAAAAGAAAAGGCGACAATGCGAACATCAGCTAAGAACCACTGGGACATCTCGGATGCTTGCCTCTTGAGGCCCTCTTGGGAACGCTTTTGGGGCGTCTCGGACGTCTCGGGGTCATCTTGGGCGTCTTGGACCGATGGTGCGGCGATGGTGGACCGTCTGGGCGGCCTCTTGGGGCTGTCTTGGCCCCGACAGAGTGATGCGAGAACACTCCCCGACGCGCGGGAAGCCCCAAGAGATTTGAGAGTGTGGGGCCCGGGTTCATACGAAAATCTTCAGGATTGAGGGTTGAGGCTCCGGGGTTGAGCAAGGTACCTGGGGACGCTGCGCTTCGTGCCACAGGGGCACGGTGGAGGATTACTCCAGAGGTGGAGGTCTGATGATGGCGCACAATTGTTTTACACCTTCGCGTTGTAGTTACGGGAGGCAGGGCCGATCAGTGTCATAGCGTGATTGGAGCCGCTTTTTTACATTTGGTTTCTTTTCCTCACTTTTTGGGTTGCGACACATCCATCTTCAATTACCTTCGGAGCGTGATATCCGACCCCGAACCAAACCTCCGGATTGGTTTTGGAGATCGCCGAGGCGATCGCGGTGGCTACACACCAGGGCAAAGGTTGTGCCACGCAGTGGCGTGCCCTTCCCAGCCCCCCCACCCGCTCCGCGATGTAGACGTGGCCCGCAATTGACCATCTAGCGGCAGAGAGAGTTGCCAGTCTATGTCCTTTTGGGGCCTCCTCCTCCTCCTCCCTCTCCTCCTCCTCCTCCTCCTCCTCCTCCTCCTCCTCCTCCTCCTCCTCCAGTCATGTGTGTTTTCGGGCCTCCTCCTCTTAGGTGAGCTGCAAAGGCAGCTCTCCGCCGGAAGCGTCAGGAAGCCTGCACACGGCGCGCGCAGGCAGAAAGGGCAGGGCACCTCGGGCACGGCGGCGTTGGACGAGCCAGGGAGGAAAGAGGTGGACTGGGCCGACAGGAAGCACACCACCCTCCCCCTTAGTCTTGTGGAGGACGATCAGTGGAGAGGGAGCATGCTGCCAAATAAGTTCCAGACGTCCAAAACATGTGTTAAACATGCATTAAAGATGTAAAACACGTGTTAAAACGTGTTTAGAACTTTTTCCTACATGTTACACACACACACACTTCCGATTCAATGATAGGACTGTTAGGGTGTTCATTGCCGTGGCATCCACAACCTTAGTCTGTCCCCCCTCCTCCACGACACCGTCCACCAGCCAGAGGATGAGGCTAGACAGCGAGGGCGACTGGTCGGGGCCACTGTCGGTGCGTCACGCCAGACGAGCCCGTGAGCCCGCCCTCTGGCAAGACAGCGCTGCAGGTACGTCAAGAGGCCCCCGATCGTGCACTAAGGTTGTGGAGGACGATCAATGGAGAGGAAGCATGCTGCCAAATGACTTCCAGATGTCTCACACATGCGTTGAACAGGTTTCAAACATGTAAACAACATGTTTAAAACATGTTTAGAAATTGTTCCCGACATCTTAGACACATTTAATTCGATAACAGGACTGTTAGGGTGTCCATTGTCGTGGCATCCACAACGCTGAAGGGGAGTCGAGAAGGCACGATGGTGCCAGGATCCTGGAACGGCAGGAGAGCAAAGGGGCCACCGCTGGTGCATCATAGCGACGGGCAGCGTCCGCCCGGACAGGGCACCAGCGAGTTTGGGGCCTCCTCCGCCTCCTTCTCTTGGTATCGCTCGGACGTGACCGAACAATGCTCGGGACATGGACGTCCGAGCAAACAAAACGCACGAAACCGAACAATGCTCGGGAAATGGACGTCCGAGCGACGGCAAGTTCTCAAGGTGTCGATTACCGCAGAGCTCATAGCAAGGATGTACGGTTGTCCTCCGAGTGCCCCTGCGTCCCTGCCTCTGCGGCCCGACCTTCGCGGCTTTCCATTGGCCAGCCCTTCGGGGTGCTGGCGGCACGCCGCCCCCAGCGTACCAGCTTCGGCGTCCTCACGGCCCGTCCTTACGAATTACAGTCGGCCCCGATTAGTAGTTCGACCCTGCCAGCTCAAGGGTACCCTTGTGTGCTGTGCCTCGCGACATGTGCCTCCTTGCACTCCTACGGCGGTGAGGCCCTCGGGAGGGTCTTGTGTCCTCTCGCGCGTCCTGCCCAATCAAGGCCGACTGTACTAATTATTCGAATGCAACTCTTGGGAGGTCAAATTCTGATTGTGCCCTGGTCCGAAATCCGGCTTAATACCGTTTAATCCCGCTTAAGTTTAATCCGGCTTAATGCCGCTTAACCCGCGGCCCTTTCCGGCGTAATAGCTCCCAAATGGGGCTGAATTCTCTTAAATCTTTCCGACGAAAACCTCCCAGTAGTTGCCTCCTAATGATTACAGATTCCGACTGTGCCACGCCACCGTACCCACCCCTTGGCCCGAGCCCTGCCGGGCCCGGCGCGGCAGGCGAAGCGCGGCCCGCTGCTGGGGAGCGTCCTCGTGCCCGGCCCCGAGGCGGGCACCGCGCCGGCCCCCCCGCGCCCCCCATTGGGGGGCGACGAGATGCGGCGGCGAGCCCAGGGGGGGTAAAGTGAGAAGGAGAAGGCTTGTGGAGGACGATCAATGGAGAGGAAGCATGTTGCCAAAGGATTTTCAGATGTCTAAAACATGTGTTAAATGTGTTTTGAATATGTTAAAAACATGCTTGACACGTTTGAGAACATGTTTTACGCATTTTAAACACAGTGTTAATTCGATGATAGGATCGTTAGGGTGTCCATTACCATGGCATCCACAAGAGAAGGCCTTCTCAGAAGGCTCGGAAGTCCCCTCCCCCAGCCTTCCGAGATGTTTTCTGAGCCCTCTGCGAAGACACGGAAGACTTCTCAGAAGGCGCGAGGGTTTCTGAGAAGTCCCGCCGCTTTGAGACGGGGGTCAATTCGGGCCGGACGAAAGGGGGGGATTGGGAAAGGGGGGGTTACGAAATTTGCTGCATGCAGCTGATTTCGGCCTCACCGAGGGGCCCATTCTTCGATACATAGCCGCCTCCGGCGCCGGGAGGCGCCGGGGAAATCAGCTACGTGAGCTGATTCCCCCCCTTTCGCCCGACCCGATCAATGCAAACGGGGGTCAGCCAGAGCGCCCGATCTTGCAGGATCCCGCAGGGCCAGGGTCGCATTGACCTGGGCTTGGGTGCAGGATCCT